ACTCTCTATCCCTCTCCTTTCCTCTCTGTTAAAAATCAATGAAATATATTTTAAAAAAAGATAAAAGAAAAAAAGTCTCTATTGTTTTTAATATTCTAACAAGGTGAGAATTGTTTCATTTTGAGAATATTTTACAATGTTTGCTCTTTTCCTTGCATAATTTGGAACCAGTGCTGCTTTCCCTATGTCTGTTTTTTGAAAACATTTTCACTGGTTTTTTAAAAGTTTACAGATCTCAGGCACGATGGCTTTAATTGCCTAACAGATAAAATAGCAGAGGTCAGAACTATGCGGGAAGGTCCGGGAACCAAGTGCACTCAGCACTGAAAATAGCCCGAGGTCAGCTGTCGTGACCCCGATACTGGATCTCCACATGTAGCAAGCCAGGCACCATTTCAAAATATAAGGTCCCCACGAATATCTTTCCTTAAAGACGAGAAAGGGCTTCCGAATGCCTGACCACTCCCAGCTGCAGCAGGAAGAGGCAGCTGTCTCTACCATTTTCCTTCCTTGGAAACACCCTCACTCCTAAAACAGAGACAAGTTGCCAAACGGCCTCCAGAGAGCCCAGCGGCAGTCCTGCCCTCACGGCTGTGGCAACAGAGTATCCACAGACTGGACACGTGAAGTTGTCATGTGTATTATTGTTGAGCTGGTTCATTTTCCTTCGTCTTTAATTTGGCCTCTGATTTCTAGAAAGTCACCTGCTTGCATCCATTTGAATACACAGTTCCCAAATCATAGCAGAAAGTGTTAAAATCAATCTGAATATTTTGGGATGTAAAGATATTTAGGGGGTTAGGAATCGGGTGGAAACACAGAAATAAAGAGTGCCCGGAGAACTCAGAGAAAACATCTCAACGTTTCAAAAAGTTATCCAATGCAACCAACCTTCCTGCCACCCCAAATAAACCTGTAAGAATAGGGGAGGGGTAGAAGAGGCAAGAGGGCATTTTCCTGATTTTTCTGACCATTGCCTACATCTCCCCCGATTCCACAGAGGGCACCCAAGAGTGGAGAAGTGAATTATTGAAGGCTGTTGCAGCTGGTTAGGAGCTGAGCTGGCGTGAAAAGCAAGCTGAGCCTCACTTACTCCCAAGATTCCCATCACCTCCCCTGTAGGCCCCACAGAGAGGTCTCAGCAGAGCAGGGGGCACACCGAGGGCCACTAACATCAGGACCAGGAGGAGGAGTAAACCCTGCCCGGGCCCATCAACAGGTGCTGCCCGAGGCCCCTGGTGTCAGTCTCTCTCATAGGTATGGGCCAAATGTGACAGAGCATTAAAGCAGTCTCCAACCCAGGCAGCCCCTGACAAAATGAGTTTTTATTTGCTTGTAAGTAAAGGAGTGATGCCAAACATTGATCAACTGTCCCACTCAAATGGCTTCTTAGAGGTAGCCCACCAGGAGCACGCAAAGACCTGGCTGCTACTGGCATTCCCTTGAACTGTTCGTCTTTTCCAAACACGGGCCAGAGTTCTCTGCACAAGGACACTCTAAGCCCAGGACACTACTTCTCATCCACCCTGGAGCCAGATAAAGAATAATGGAAACCCAGGCTGAGCACACAGCTATCGTACTGCTTTCCACTCATCACAAACTGGCTAACATTGCCCATGGGCACCTCTACAGCTCTCCAACCAAGAACCAGCAGGAAAACTCAATGGAATTGCACATTCTAATCCCCTGACCATGACCAAGGCCCCAACAAATCCATTTCTTCTCCCTGCCTAGGTCCCCTCATCTCACCCAGGTGAATCCTTTGGGCACAGCCAACATTGGTAATTTAGTTCCTTGCTGTCTCCTTTTCTCCATGTGCCTTTGGTTTTACCCGCTTCTTCAAGCCTCCTCCAATTCATCCTGCCTACATCCTTCACTGCCCTTTGCACCTTCCACTCTTCCCCTCAGTCACCTTTGGCCTCTCCTGGGAGCCTCCCAACACCAATGACCTAATGGAAAGTGGCCACCTCCTGGTCTCTAGTTGTAGAGGGACTGAGAGAACAGGGTCACGCTGCAACTCAAGTTTTGAGGTTTTTTTGGTTGGATCTGCAATCGGTGATGTCCTTCACCACTTTTTATCAGAAAAGATAAAAGAAAAACAAAACAAAACCACATGAGGCTTAGCTGCCTTATGACGGTAATTTGGATTTCCACAGAGTCTCCTGTTGCTCTTTCCCCATCAGCATGGCATGTTGCAATATCCTCGCTCCCTCCACCCCTTATCAACTGTCTTGATGAATAGGGTAACATAATCATGATGGAGGGGGGCTAGCTGGTGTTTACACAGAACGTAGTTGAAAGGTGTCAAAAGGTGAAGCAGGGCCTCTGTAAATGACAGGAAGGTAAAGGCAATGATTCTCCCATGACCTTAGTAAGGTTATGTTTAAAAACAAAACAAAAAAACAAACAAAAAAACCATTATCACTGGTCTCATTGAAGGTCTATCTCAGTGTGGTCTATCTCTGACAAGGGAGCAGATAAGCCAAGGCAGAAAACCAAGCCCCAAATGCTGGAATATCTCATCAAACTACCCCAAGGTAGCTGGACCAATCAGGAGCTAAGCTAAGAACTAGGCTGAGACCACACAAGCTGACTGTCACTAAGATGTACCAGCGACCTGCAGGGGATGGCTTCTTCCCAAGAGTGGTGCTGCTTCTCTTGGGCATTTGAGAAAAGGGCTGGGAGCAGGCTGTTTAAATATTAAATGTGTCCTCTTTTGGGGCTATATCATCACCACTACTGCCAGATATTGCCTCTCCAAAAGCAGCTGTGCCAGATGGGAGGCTGGAAACCAACAGACACTTCTGTGTTTACCGCAGACAGGGGTACACGCTCCTTCTACTGCTTGCAATGGACTGCCTGGAGTCCTTATGACACCCTAAATTGGCCAACAGTATCATTGCCACAGCTTCTTCTACGGAGGAAGGCTCTGGAGGAGTATTTGGCATGCAGCCCCTTAGTTTTGTATCCAAACATTGTAAGATCTGGGTTCAAATATCAGCAGCACGAAATAGGACTTCAGCATGTGTAGTATGCAAAATTATCAGATGGTGGACAGATTCCCATCCCCTGGCCAGTCAGACACTAATCTAGGTACGCTATGACCGGATGACCTGAAGATAGGAAGGTTATCCAGGGGGGACTGTGATATGAATCATTTAAAAGGAATGTTTTTCTCAGCCTGTACAAGAGGAAGTTAGATTCAAAGCATGTGAAGGATCTGATGCAACAGGAGGGTTTGAGGCACCGCTGCTGGCTTGAAGACTGGGCGAACCAAGTTATGAGAAAAGGGCACAGTCTCCGTAAGTTGAGAGTTGGCCTCAACCAGCCAGAAATGAGGACCTCAAGTCCGACAACCTGAATTTGGCCAGCTGAGTGATCTGGAAGCACATTCTTTCCCAGAGCCCAGCACTGGCTGACACCTTGACATTAGCCGTGAGACCCTAAGCAGAGAAACCTCCAGGACCGCCAATCTCAAGAACTGTGAGATGATAAATGGGTTATTGTTTTAAGCTGCTAAGTTTGTGGTGTGCAGCAACAGAAACTAATACAGCATGGAAAGCTCTCAGCAAGTAGAGTGCACAGGTCAAAATGGTCTGGCCTTCCTCAAGGTTAGCCTCCGTCTCCACATCCTCCCACACCTCAGTCGTAACAGCAGGCTTGCTCACTAAAAAAGGTGCCAAGAGGATTAGGGAGGCAAAGACTTTTCAAAGCCCACCCCAGGACGGGAATACCACTTGGAATCCTAAAAGAATTAGATCTTCCCCCTTCTCCCAACCCCAATGTAATAGCCGCCGCCATGAGGGTTCCTACACGTTCGTGCTGAGGAGGCCTTCACCTGGCCCCCTTCTCCTAACTGCGTTCACTGCAAGCAACCTGGAGGGATGAAGTCATGTCCACACCTGGAACAAGAGCAGGAAGCAGAGTCCCCATGCATGCGTGTGCCTTGCCTGTGATGCAACCCACTGCGTGAATGGCATGTTCCTGGGCACCCCCACGTCACCATGTGGGACTTGGGAAACAGGAGGAACCAATTCAAAAATGAAGTCATGCTGCTTGCTGTGCTCTGAGTGACAGTTCTCTGACTCTGAGTGAGGACTCTCATGTATTCTGCTAGCACCCATGAAACATTAATAATCTAACTTCCTAGCTTATACGTGAGGCAAAATTCCAGACTCTGACATTATTACACTTAGATCTTTAAGCCAGGTGGTCTAATGTCTTTACATTATTAATTTCAAATGAACAGAATATCCTTTTTGAATATTCTTGCGGAGAGAATAAATTCTACATCACAGTTATTATGAAAATAAAATAAGAAAATGTATAGCACACCTGAGATAGAGAAAAATATCCAATAACTTTAATTGAACCCCTTCCTTCCTCCCACCCTCACCCCCAGGCACTCATCCCCACACACACAATGAACCAGACAGGGAGCAGAATCTGTATCCAAGACAGCGGAGTCCATTCTGATGAGGGATGAAATGGTCTCATATACCATTTTTTTTCCCCCCCTGAAACTTGCATAACACTGCATTACTCATAGAGTTTCCACTGTGGTTGTCTCAATTAATCCCTAAACAGAAACCAAGTTTCAAAGAGGTCAGTCCTTGCAGAAAGGACAGTAACAGATGCCACAGGTCTGGAAAATGGCCACACGACAGGAGCCCAGGGATGCGGGCTGAGGAAGCACTGTTGACATGGAGCTGTGATGATGGTCTAGCAGCGTGACTGTGTCCTGAAGGTCTGTGTCCAGGTAATCAAAGGGAGCATATCGTGACAGGCCTCCTGAGGAATGGCAATACCACTGGAGAAATGGCTGGAAACCACATGATATAAATATGTCTTTAATTTGCATTTCTGATTGTTTTTAAATGGAAAATGAAGAAAGGCCTTAATATCCAAGGCTATCCTGCGCTGTTTGGACTTAGTCCCTCTGGGTCCTTGGCAGCTTCTGCTTGTCTGTAGGTGTTGGGGCCTTTTATCCTGTGACAGTATCACTTGAGGGTCTTGCTAAGGTTGGAGAAGCCAATGCCAACACAGGTCATCAGCACTTTATCCCCGCCCTTGCGTTCTTCACCACATGGCTTGGTTTCGATTTTAAACATAATCTGGAAAAAGCTCTTCAAATGCCGCAAAAATTCTATCCTAAAATATAAAAAAGGAAAGAATGAAAGAGAAATTTTATTTTTTTTAAATATATTTTTATTGATTTCAAAGAGGAAGGGAGAGGGAGAGAGAAATATATCAATGATGAAAGATAACCATTGATTGGCTGCCTCCTGCACGCCCCCCAATTGGGATTGAGCCTGCAACCCAGGCCTGTGCCCTGAAAGGGAATCAATCAGAATCAAACTGTGACTTCCTGGTTAATAGGTTGATGTTCAACCACTGAGCCATACCAGCCAGGCAGAATTTAATTTTTTTTGAAGTTCTCCTCCACCTAGAACCCAAGCTTTTGATTTCAGATCAAGGGGAATGACCAAAATTAAGCAATTCTCATCAAGTTGATTAAATAATATTCCTCTATAGCCTACCAGTTTCCAAAGAGGATTTGTGTGTGTGTGTGTGTGTGTGTGTGTGTGTGTGTGTGTGTAGAGATGCACACAATACAAACAGATGGCTTAAAGAAATAATGTTAGAAGTTAGTACACAACAGATAAGTCCTGTCCTGCACCCGTGTTACAGTGGACATAAATGTGGCATTAATCTCTGAATGGCTCCTGCAAAGAAACACATTCTGTCACGATTCACAGCGCCATGCAGTAAAACCAAGCAGAATGACTATTGCTGATGCCAAAAAAAAGACATGGCTCTTCATTCCTCCACCTCGACAGCCCCCTTCCACTCAGTTAACAAATATGCCTACAGTGTGTCAGGCACTGTTCTTCATACAGATGATGCAGTCAACTAAAAATCCATTCTCACATGAAGTTTTCAACCTAATGGAGCAGACAAGGCAAGTTAAATATTCTTGAAAAGGGAAATTTAAATAACAAACAAGGCAGATGAGGAGGAAATGTGGGTATAACAATATCTATGTGTATATGGAAGAAGGCAATATTAAATAAGGTGGCCAGGAAAGTGCTCACAGTAAATATGGCAAGAAGTTTCATGAGGCTGTTTCTTGTCATCTCCCTTATGACAGAGCTATGGTTTCACCCCAAGAGTACCTTGGGAACAGCAATTCTGTGGCAGGACCACGGTGTGAGTATGTAGGCTTCTGCTGGTCTGGCCTATAAGACTCGCCTGGAGAACTCATTAAACATACAGGTTCCTGAAGGCTCTGATCCACTGGCAACTGATGGGGAAGGCATGTCCATGTGGAAGAGTCCAGAATCACAGGCACACATAGAGTCCCCCTTCCCACCCTTTTCCAGGCCCTGACTTTCCAGAGCAGAGGAGCCAGAAAGCTATTATTCACAAGCACCCCTGGTGATTTTTACCAGGAAAGCTTGAAAACCATTGGTTTAGTTAGGAACAGATGGTCTATATGCCTGTAATAAAGTATTCCAGCAATCTTGCACTGTGCTCTCTGCCAATCAAACCATCCAAACTCCCTACCCCAGCCAGATGGTTCTCAGCACTAAATGTACACAGAATCACCTGAGGCACTTTCAAAATACTGATCTTGATACGTAGATCAATGGAATGGATTTGAGAGTCAAGAAATAAACCATTTACATTCAACTGATTTTCAAAAAGGGGCCAAGATAATTCAACAGGAAAAGAATAACCTACTCAATGAATGGTGCTGGAACAACTTCACATAGGCCCTTTCTTAACATCATACACAAAAAATAACTCAATACTGACCCAAGATCTGCATGTAAGAGTAAAACCTATGAAACTCATAGAAGAAAACAGAAGTAAATCTTCATGATCTTGGGCTAGGTGGTGGTTTATTAGACACAACATGAAAAGCAGAATGATAAAAGAAAAAATGAATAAATTGGACTTCATAAAAATTAAAACCTTTTGTGGACACTATCAAGAGAATGAAAATACAATCCCCAGGGAGAAATATTTTAAATCATATATCTGTTAGGAGTCTAGTATATAAAATATGTAAAGAATTCTTACAACTCAATAATAAAAATCCAATAACCCAATTTAAAAATGGGCAAAGGATATACAAAGACATCTTTCTAAAGGAGATCTACATATAATCAATAAACACACAAAAACATGTTCAACATCATTAGTCATTAGGGAAGTGGAAATCAAAACCACTATGAGATATCATTTCATGCCCAATAAAATGGTTACAGTAAAAAAGAGATAATAACCAATGAGTGGGTCAGATAAAAAATGGTCATCACTGTGGAAAAGTCTGGCAGTTCCTCAAAATGTTAAAACAAGGAGTTATCATGTGATCCAAGAATTCTACTTTTAGGTATATACAGAAGAGAAATGAAAAAATGCACCCCCACAAAAACTTGTACACAAATGTTCAAAAGAGCATTATTTATAACAGTAAAAAAGTAGAAACTCAAATGCCCATTAACTGATGAATGGACAAACAAAATGTGATATACCCATTCAATGGAATACTATTCAGCCATAAAAAGAAACAAAATACCAGTCCATGTTACAATATGGATCAACTTTGAAAACATTATGCTAAGTGAAAGAAGCCAGTCACCAAAGAACGCATTGTATGATTCTATTTACATGAAATGGACAAAACAAGCAACTCTATTATAGAGTCAGAAAGCAGGTGATTGTCTGCGGTTGGATTGGGAGAAATGGGGAAGAACCATGAGTGGGTAAAGGTTTTCTTTCCGAGATGGTGCAATGTTCTAAAATTAGATAGTAGTTATATTTACTTTGTGAACTTAGTGAATATACTAAAAAAAAACACTGAATGGTACACTTTAAGGTAGTGTATGAAGTATATCTCAAAAAAGCTACTTAAATACATAATATATATTTGTGAAGTTAAAAAAAAGCACTGATCCCAGCTCTCACCCTCTCAGAGTATATACCAAACTCAATATAATGTCTTCTGCAATGAATTTCCCACCCCTTCCTGTCCCTCTGTCATAATCAATCTAGTCAAAGTGGGAAAAGACAAAAAGGAGAAGAGGGGGCCCAAACAATTCCTCATCCTGTCTGGCTACATGACCAGCATGTCAGTAGTTAAGAAATGAAAACAGGAACTCCCTGGAGAGTATTTCTGGTAAGTGCTACTTGCACACAGAAAAATTCTTTCGCTTATTTTATTTATTTATTTATTTATTTATTTATTTATTTATTTATTTAGAGAAGGATAGAAACATCGATAAGAGAGAAACATTATTGATCTGCTGCTGATGGAGCCTGCAACCCCGGCATGTGCCCTGACCCGGAATCAAACCAGTGATTTCTTGGTTCCTGGGAGGCTGCTTAACCACTGACCCACACCAGCCAAACACCATCTCTTTTAAAAAAAATTTTTATTTAATGACATTTTTAAGGGGGGGGGAGGGGGGAGAACGTGGGGAGTGGGGAGCATTGATTTGCTGTTCCAAAACAAATGTTATTTATACATTCATTGGCTGCTTCTTGTATGTGCCCTCACCAGGACAACACTCTAACCAACTGAGTTACCCGGCCAGGGCCAATTCCTCTCTTCTTTCTCTCTTCTTTACTCTCTCTCCACTGAAACCCATTATACTTGATAGGCATTATGTCTGGCATTCAATAAAGAGGCAAGAAGTAGAATTTAGGAGTTAGGACTAATTTTGAGAAATGACTTAGCAATAAGGGAAGTCAGTTCTTCCCCTGCTGGCTTTCCTGTTTTACCAATTTTCAGGTTTTTGCACCTCACCCTGTCCTAGGAAAAAAAGAAAAACATCAAACCCATAGATAAACAGTCCACATCTATGGGCAAAGCCTTCAGCTGGCAGCAGTGCAGACAAAGCCAAATACTCGCCCACTCATCTGCATACTAAGGAGAAAACAGCTTGTTCCCTCTCCCTCTCCCTCTCTCTCTTTCCCTCTCCCTCTCCCTCTTCTTCCCCCCCCCCCCCCGTCTCTCTCTCTCTCTCTCTCTCTCTCTCTCTCTCTCTCTCTCTCTCTCTCTCTCTCTCTCTCTCGCTGCTGACCAGGCTCTAATATAGGCCTGCTACCAGAGCCTCCCCAGCCTACTTCACTGAATCATTCCACTGTGCTGGAAAAACCAGACACCTCCCCAGCTGGCAGAGCTCCTAAGAGGCCTCAGCTTGCTTCAGATCTCTTGGAGGATGGAGAAACACAGGTTTGAGTGTGCAGGCCTACATATTTGCAGCTCTGAGGTATTTGTAGCCTTTGAAATCGTTAGAAAAAGTGAAGTGGGTTCCCCTTTTTACACAACGTTCTGCCAAAGGCCAGTCTGTGGAAGACTCTGTAAGGGACTGGATTAAGGCATGCTTCAGAATGTCCCTCCTGCCTCCAGCTATGTAAGACCAAACATGGTCAGAGCTGAGAAACAACCACAGATGATATTAAATCCTAACAGTCTCTTTAAGAAAATGAAAAGCAAACAGAGAATAAACTCGCCCCACATATACATGCAGTGAGCAAAGGTCACATCGGTGCTGATCCACATGCTTCTCCACAGCTCCAAGCACAGGCCCCAGCAGGCCCCGCCTCTTCCCTTCCTTCTCTTCCAAGCACCATTCTGTAGATCCACACTTCCCAGACACAACCACATGGCCGCACAGCCAGGCAAAAGAGAGCCACGCACGCCGAGAGCGGCTCTGCTCCTTGACAAAGGACTGCCCACCTGCGCAGTGTAACTGGCAGCTTTTCAGACCACACATACTAGGCAGCTGGGACTGTAACTCCTGTGTGAAGGATTTAGAGAACTAAATCTGTAGTAAACTCTCTTTTTCTAATACAAAGTGACTTATTCAAAAAAAAAAAACAAAAAAACCCAGCACATGAGAAGCAGGTTTCGAGAATCCTGGAACACAGAGATAATTTTCCCCCTATATCTTCCAAGAGTGGGTTGTTGCTACCGCATTATTGATCAACAGGTGACGGCCATTGGGCTCAAAGTCATCTATCGTTGAATCCCAACTGCCCAGGACTGACCAGGTGGCAGACTCTGCCTGCTGGAGAGTGGAGATGAAAGCAATCATGGGGTTATCTCTCTCTCTCTCTCTCTCTCTCTCTCTCTCTCTCTCTCTCTCTCTCTCTCTCTCCCCCCCCCCCCCCACCACCACCACCACCACAAACACAAACCACAACAGAAGGCCTTGATTCTTGCTCCACCAAATAACTCAGATATTGGGGTTGCCTACTTCTCAGGTCTAAGAAGGGGATGAGAGACCTGGGGGTGAGAAGAGAATCTGCTGGATGGGACCCCTGTAGTCATTACACCACAGCTTTAAATATAATATATTGGCGGTGCTTTTTCTCCAGACAGAGGCTTTCCCAAAGCCCAGCTTGCCTCTGCTCTAAGAACAAACTGGGTTATAAAGGCAGAAGGAAAGAGAGAGACAGGCTGGTTGCATGGTTGAGAGATGTGGGTCCCAGAACAAATTTGGCTAAAAATTCACTATGAGCACGTCCCTGAACTCTCTTTTTCATCTAACAAGTAAAGACATCACTTGCTTTTTCCATATGCCAAATATGGCATATGGTAACAGCTTACTAAAGGTGGCAGGGCTTTGCAGCATTTAAACACAATTAAATCACGCATGTAAGGTGGAGGGGTATCCTGCCAGCTGAGGAGAGCAGTTAAAACAACTGAACCCAATAGCTGCAGGTTTGGCCACCATGTCCAGTTTCCCCTGCATATGCGTTCAATCTTCACAGTGCTGTGTGACAAGCCTGGGTGAGTCAGGAATCCTCAGCCTGGAGGTGTTTAAAAGGACAACGGGCTCTCACAACCCAGCATTTCACAAGTAGCAAGAAGAGGTCACTAATTAAACTTTAAAAAACCAAACAGGCCTGGTTCATTTTAGACTCTTAAGACAGGAAATCATTTTGGAGCAAAATTTGAACTGAGGATTCTGGAAAGATGTGGCATGGCATCTTGTCTCGGGCAGGGAGGTGTCTGAAGGCCAACAACGGGCGGAATCCCAGTACTTGCATAAGAGCAGTGGGTCAGGGAAGCATGGACTCTGGACAAGACTGCCTGGCTCTGAACTCCACTTGCTGACTATGTGACCTTGGGCACATGACTCAACTTCTCTGTGCCTCAATCCCCACACCTGTAAAATGGACTGCGCAATAGTAACCTCCTAGGGCTATTATAAAAACTAAATGAAAAGATAAAAAATAAAAACTAAATGAGTTCGTATTTGTCAAGTGCTTAAACTATTGGGCCAACAGTAAATACTGTAAATGTTTGTTAAATAAACACCTACCTTACGCAGTTCTTGGGAACAGTAAGTGAGATGCGTGTTGTTTATTTAGCAATATGACTGCAGTAGTTAGTCATGAATTTAAAAATTAATGGATAAAGATTTACAGATATCAGAGCAAACACTTTGCAACTGACTTCAGGCCTGAGATAATCCAAAGCAAGTTAGGACCTCGTGGTGCAACGGTAGCGTGTCTGACTCCAAAGCAAGTTTACTGGGCCTCCTGGTATTCAGAATGACCGTAACAGTAGATTGTGTTTTCCCAGGCTGGGGCAGAGCAAGGGGGTCTCCTGGCAGTAACTGCAGTGTCCAACACTGACTGGGCTCTGCCAGGCTCACTGCATTGCTGGCTGGGAGCGCTAAGTACCTGACTTTTTGCTCCATCCTCATAAACCTGACTTCAGGACCATTCACCTTCTCCACAGAAAAGACCAAGGCTCAAAGATGCTGAAGGCTGTCCATGGATCCAGTGTGAAATCGGGCAGGCTGCACTTCAACGATCATGTACCGACAACATGTAGAAGGCTCTGTAACTGCTGTCTCCAATCATAAATAATTTGTGAAAGTGCTATTTTCTTGCTGTTAATCCCACTTTTAAATAAAATATAAATCCTCCCTAAACTATAATATTAAGCTTTTCCAGGGGAAGGTGGAATCACTGTAAATCAATTGTAAACCACCTTGCAACTCAACAAAATGAACAGAAATAGATTTTCCACATGCCAGCATGTTAGCCAATGCTGTTTTATTCTTCTGAAAAACATCTCTCTGGCCTTCCTGAAAGATTTCACATATATAGACATGCTTTCTCAATAACACAGAAAACCACCAACAGACAGAGGGAAGAATAAAGGGAAGAACAGAGACACTTATTTTCCAGAAAGGGTTTCAAAGCAATACTATAAGAAAACACATCCCCCTTAATCCCAATACTCTATTTAAAAAACAAAAAAAAACAAAAAAAAACACTTAAAAAGCTTTTTAAACAAATCAGAACGTGAAAACTACCACAAGAAATACATTTCTTGATCTAGTTTTCGTGAGAAATTTGAGATTTCAAAAAATATATTTTTATGACTTTTTTAAGTGTACTTTCTAAAAATAAGTGATAGTTTGATCTCCAAAACTCTTAAACCCAAGTAGGATCAATTGAAACCCTCCTCCCACCACAATTAGACTAACTATAGACTCTGTGTCTTTTTCATGCTAAGCTGTACTCACAAATACGACAATAACTTTGTATTTGGAAGGACATATATTTCTTCCCATCTTTGCCCTTCATCGCTCTGGATCCCTGGAGCCTTCCACAATGATAACGAGCAACAAGGGTCCCAAACAGATACATCTTTAAAAAACATATACATCTTTAAACTCCTTACAACCTTCTGCCCCCACTGTGTTTGCTTGCCAAAAAGAAAGGAGGTAACGCTGGCCACCCATGGCAGCCCCTTCTGTGTGAAACCCTGGGAGGCAGGAAACCCAGATAAACATAGCCCCAAGTTCCAAACATAATTCCCCGATTTGTTCCAGTCCTGTAAAGCTCCATTCAGAGCAGACCACTTTGTTTTCTTGGGAGATGTAGGTAGTCATTTTAGAGAGGTTTCTGGAAGATAAGCTTGCAATTAATGTTTGATGACGAAGTATGTCGAGGAGGGCGTGGGAACTTGAAAAAAATGTCCAGTCACATCTTGACCATCTCCACAGGGGCTGCTGACTTGAAAAAATTATAAAGGCCCTGTAGCCAAACTGAAAAATAAATCTCTAAGAGCCAAAAAAAAAAAAAAAGGGTCAAGGAACACTAAAAATATAGATTTCCTTTTGCACATAATGTTCTGCCAAACGCCATGCCCCACGACCACACACATCTAGAGACAGCCTCAAGCGGTGTGAGCGGTCAGGCCTGCTGCTGCCCTGAAGCAGAGGCTGGGAGGCAGCAGCGTCAGTGAGAGAGCTGGCTGAAGGGGCCTGGTGGTCAGAGCAGCCAGCGCTTCCAGCCAACGCTCTACAGAAAGTGAATCTCTGCACTTGGGCACTGCGTGTGTTCCCTTGCCTCCTCTCCAGGCAGCTCAGCTACAAAGTCTGTTTCAGCAATGTTGATTCCTGATGTTAGTGTTCCACTGGGGATTACTCGATTTCAGGTCCCGGTCCCATGAAAAACTTTACAACTGTTAGCAGATAATGTGGTTCCTCACCAGCTTCCTGCTTATCAGTATTCTCCCACTACTAAGGCTATTTTCTCTTCCACTGCCATTTTCCAGAACACCTCCCACCACCAACTTCAAATAAAAAAAACCTTCAAAACAATCTCTTTCAAGCTTCTGGTCTCCATACGCCCAAGCGATGTCCAGAGGTACAAGGCCTCCTCCGCAGTGCTTGCCCCTTCCTCAAAGTGATGGCACCACCATTCTTCAGTTATCACAGTACTGTACCTTTCAGATATACAGCATCGGTACCATGATAACCGAAAAAGGACAGTTCAGTCTCACATCTACCTGAGTATCTCCTCCACACAGGCCCACTCCCGCCCTACCCACAGATGGCCATGTATTGATTTCGAGCACATGTACGCACACCCAGATGTCAGGGCTCAAACAGGCTGCTTGCAGCAAGCTCATCTGATACCTATGGGAAGTGCTGCTTTCACTGTGCTGTTAACAATCCAAGTCTTCTCATCAGCTGCTCTTTTTTATAGAGTGCTTGCTTTAATACCTCAGGAGTCACCTTCTGATAACATCCAATAGCCTCAAACTCACCTTTACAATATCCCTATTAGTCCAGTGGCATTACTATAGACTATGCCTCTTTTTTTCATCTTTCCAGCCAGTATATACCCTATCACCTTGGACAAAAAGACAGCTCACAGGTAGGAAAAAGAGGGGATTTAAAAATAATAAATAAATAACAAAATCTAAGTTATAACAGAACCAGATTACCTCCAAAATGAGAAAAATCTAAAGCACAGACAAAAGAATTTCTACTATACCTCACAACTTCAATGGCTTGGGAATAATGCAACTACAGAAAAGAAAGGAAGGCAAGATGCCTGCTAAACACCAGAGTAAGAGTGACAACCTCCAGCTCATTCCAGGATCAGTACAAGCAGGTGTTCACAGTGATAGGCTACGCACAGTCCCACACCTTTGTCATTTCGTGCAACTGGAAGATTACATTAGACAGCGGTAATGAGGCTGAGAGAAAACAACTCACGTGTAGGGAGAGAGCGGTCCTAGCAGGACTTTGGAAACGTCCTGCTGCCCAAGGGTCATGAACAACAGGGCCAGGCTTTGGTTGGTCGAGTCCACGCATCCACCCTATGAATACAAACACTTTCAAGATTAGTCGTTATTCCAAGCATAAAAGGGAAAACCAAGAAAACAGTCACAAATACCCAGAATATCAGAACCACAGAAGAGCAGATTGCAAAGTTCAAGCAATAATAAAACAGAATACAGGTCTTTTCAGAGGGATCCTTGTATCATTTAACATTGGAGGGGTTAAACTAACTGGTAATCTAAACAACTTTATTAGCTGCGACTATCAGAACAAATAGACAATCAAGTTTACTTAGGTGTAGCTAAGGAAGAATAATACGTCCTCTCTGTAATTAAAGCAGCAGCAGCAGGACATATAAACAAAAAAAGCATAATCAGTTCTAGGAAATGTACAGGTAATTAAGAAGGGTGAGGTGGATGCGGCTTGTTTATTTAATCTGTCAGGGAACACTACAGTCAATCTGACATGAAGAGGGCCTTAACCTATAACCTATCCAGTCACATCCAAAACTGCTTGTCAAGTTACATTAGTTTCTCCTTTTGACTCTTCCTGTGCACCTTAAAACTGAAGAATTACTAAGACCAGACTTCTGCATTTTTACTACTTAGGCACTGTTCCCCACCACTTTTTCTTCCTTTTCTTCCAAATCAATAGGCACAACAGAATTCTCGCACGTTTTCTCCTGAGGAATTGTTTTGGTTGCCTTTCTTCTTTCATTCTTGGATTTCTTGACTATCTCAGCCATTCTACTTCTATGACATGCATGCATGACTGTTTATGTGTGTGCCTTAAAAATGTCTTTATTGTCCTGTTCAGTGTTGCTAAAGTGGTTAGAGTAGCCTGAACACCAAGAGGTCTCAGGTTCAATTCCCAGTCAAGGGCATGTACTTGGATTCACTCCCCATCCCCAGCTGGAGCATGTACAGGGAGGCAACCAGTCTCTTACACATCAATGTTTTTCTCTCTCTCTGCCTCACTTCCTCCTTCCCACTTTCTCTGAAAAGCAATGGAAAAAACATATTCTCAGGTGAGAATTAACAAACAAACAAAAGTCTTTTATTTCTGATCATTCTTTCTGAGATAACTTTATTTAAAACAATTCAAACTTATATTATACACAGTGAAAGTGGGATGACCTTAAATTTCTACATGTTTTGTACATGCCACAAAAAGAACCCAGTTTCTGATGATGGCACATCACTGTTCAAGCCTAGACTCCCAGACTTTAAACAGAACATGTGGCCGAGGAGGAGGAGGAGGAAGAGAAAGAGGAGGAGGAGGAGAAAGATGTTTTTTATTGATTTTAGAGAAAGGAGAAGGGAGAGGGAGAAACACTGATGTGAGAGAGAAACATGATTAGCCACCTCCTGCACGTGCAACCCAGGCATGTGCCCTGACTGGGAACCGAACAGTCAACCTCTTGATGCAAGGGAATGATGTTCAACCACCAAGCCACACCAGCCAGGGCAACCTCTCTCAAATGCATGCAGTGTAGGGAATAAATCAATTATGAAGCACAAACACCCATTCTTTGCTTTCAGACTTCATTTACAACTGAGTAGAAAAATAAGGGGGCTTATCCTACTGCCAGCTTTTATGAAAATCCACTGCTCTTCCTAAACTACCTTGAAGGACAGTATTTATCTCTAAGCCAATGTTAGGACAAGAGGTGTAATGTATGTATTTCCATTAAGAACAAACAAAAAACCTTGACCCACTAAGAATCTGAGGACCAACAAAAAGTGTTTTTTATAAAATTCGCTCCCTTTCATAGATTGTGTTTCAAGAGATTTAGACGGAAGGGTATGTTGGAGAGGATCAAGAGAGGACTTCCACTCCTGCAGGTGGTCACAGCAGCACCTGGTGGGGGAAAGAGGGAAAGGGGAGGGGGCAAGAGACAGAGGCAGCTTAAAAGATGGACAGAAAAGGCAGTTTCAGAAAGCCTGGAACACAATCAAGAGGACTTGGTTGGTAACTGTTGAGACATAGATAGAATAAGAGGAATTAGATCAGAGGAATACAATGTTGATAAAAATAAACAGCACCTTCAAAGGGGATACATTGTTATTATTCTTTTAAACATGTCATGTCACAGACATAAAGAATTATTCACAAGAACATGAAGTATTTTCATTCTTTTAACAACTAAAGACCATAGACACACACAAAAGAAATTTTCCTTAAAAACACACACACACACACACACACACACACACACACACACACACACACAACTTGGTGCAGGCACAATGAAATGGCTTTAAGTAGAACTTAACTAGAGTAAAGGGGGAAAATAAAATAACCTAATCCAGACTGCACCCTTTCTCTCTGTGGCCTTGCTTTCACCCTGAGGCCTATAACGTGCTATTTATGAGGATACAGAACCCAGCCTCCAGCGCGGCTCTTCTGTGATGTGATGCTTTCAACTCCCCCAGGTCTACTGGAAAGAGATGGGAGGATCCCCACGGCCAGAAGGCCTGCAAGCCACAAGGAAGGGAAACCTGAACCAGTTGCCAGGGGCTTAGGACGCACAGGTCACATGCACAGTCCGTCTTCACAGATGTCTAGATCAGCAGTCGCCGATCGATGGTCTGCGGACCACTGGTGGTCTGTGAGGTCTGAAAGGTTGGCAACCGCTGGTCTAGATGACTAACTTTCTGCACTAAGTGGCATGGTAACCTCTTGGTCGCTTATGTACCCCCAACTTTTAGTTACTACTCATCTTCCAAAAAATGAATCACTAAATTAAGCATTGAACATGAGGCTGATTTAACATCAAAAAAACTAAGGCCAGCCTTTGGCCACACAAGAAGTGTGAGAAGATACTTCTTCCTGCAGGAGGATTTCATTTGAGAGGGCATTTCCTTCTGCCACTATTTGCTAGCTGAATGGTGAGGACACAATTATAGGACCTTTGTCTTCCATTTTAATTAGACGGACATTAGTGAAACCGTTAAGACCTGGACATCTTAGTGAACTCTGAAGCAGTTCGTTTTTATACTTGTTCCACCTTGCAACCATTGAGGTATTGTTGAGAATGGTGACTAAACAGGGAGAAGACTTGGCTGTAGGCTATTTTCCTTAGCCAGGCCTGTGCAGGGATCAATACCCATGAACCAGGCGCCACTCTACCACGACAATTAATAAATTACAGACAAAAAGTATTAAAAAAGAAGACAAAATCTCCTCTGTTTTATTTCATAAGAGCTCACATATGATTTCTGCTACTTTAAACAGGGCAAAGCTTCCTTGGAGACTTCAGGAAAGAACCACAGAAATGCCAACTAACTGAGACTAAATACACAGATAAATACGGAGATGAAAGGCTCTTCAGATGAAGAGAAAAGGCAATTTACTAACACTATACAACATGCAATAGCAAATCACCCAGAGTATAGTTTTTGCTAGTGCTCAGCTCGGAAATGTGGGGCCTCTTATACATAGCAGAGAAATAAGCATTCCTGGGAGCCAGTCCTAGATTCTGCATGCCAAGGAGAAGGTTTCACCTTCTGACATGGATTCAAGGCAAGGACTGTAGACAACCAGAAATCCTGAAGCCAGATTTCTGACTCCCCTCTAACCAACTATAAGGGACCTTAAAGATTTTTTTTTTTTTTTTAGGCAGCTTCATCTTATTTCTCCTGCCATCATATTTCTTTCCCTCCCAATTCCTTCCTTGCTTATTTTAGGTCACCTCAACTATTTTTGGGAAACAGGAAGAGCATATGTATGCCTAACCACATGTTGTTTGTATAGAGGGACAGAGAAAAACCTGTGAAAACTGAGAGGACAGGTTGGCCCAAGTTAGTCTGAGCTGTGTCCCATCAACAGAACTGCAGAAGCAAATGGCAACGGATGAAGTCTTGTCGTCAGCTTCGTGTCCCTCTGTCTCCTGTGTTCTCGCCTTTCCAAAGCCCCTGCCATGCACTGACACAGGCCTGCCTTCCCTAAACATTCCTCTATGCTCCAGAACACACTACAAATCCTAGCCTGTTGACACTATTTTGTATCTAAAGCAGCTGTCACATACAAATCGCGATTTTTAACTCCTCAAAGAACCTGAAAACAATGAGCCCCCATCCTCACATGGCAAGGAGCTGGAGGAGCTGGAAGGTGGCACCTGTTCTGGTCACGGCACTGTATCCTCTTCAAGTGGCCAGTCACTAGCTAACCTGCTTCATTTCACACCTTTTCTTTCCTGAATAACTCTGTCTCAGCTTTTTAATAGTGTCCACAATGTTAAAAAGTACCTGCCCAGTGTCCCAAATCGGGTAAAATGGATCTCTACTTACTGACTGGTTCATCTAATCCATTAAGCCAGTTCATATTAAACTACTTAATGGGTAGGAAGAGTTATAACTCCTTGAACAGGGAAGAAAGTGCTAAGGATTAAGAATGAAACAATGAACTGCTTCCGGATGGCTCCTCTCCCGACTGGCAGAGGCTGAGGACATACCCTGTAGATTTCTTCAAGCAGCAGCTTGGCACAGTTCCTGCCCAGGTCCTCTGGAAGCACCGCCACTCCCTGGCCCTGGGGGTTGGAGGTAAGCTCAGCACCGAGGAAGGTGCCGTTGATGGTCTCGGCAACCAGTGACAACCCAAAGCCTGGAGACCTGGGGATTCAAAGGCACAGACACTGAGTAGGGTTAATGAAGTGGGGTGCAGGCACCAGCAGGAGGAAAAGAGAAAACAAACATCTTTCTGATGGCATTCTGCATTGTTACATCAAGCCCTACGGGAGTTCTCATTAGCTTGCAGTGGACAGACACATGACTTGGTGAGAACGCACCTGACAGAACCAAGGAAGGTGCAAGTTTACATCGCTTTTCCTATTATCCCCTCCCATCCCCACCTTCTGCCCCTCCCACACTGTGAAATATCCTACTGTGAGAGATTGTAGTAGCATTAACAAGGGCTACCAGATATCTAGCACCGCCTTTCTGCCAGTTTCTGACCTAGAGGTTTTGACACAATTCTGCAGAGTAGGTAATATGTGCCCATCTTAGAAATGAGGCAATGGAGAAATTAAGCTAGGAAGTGTCTGAGGTGTGTTTCCAACGCAGGTATCCAGACTCCCAAACCTACCCAAGTTCACCACCACAGCCCTTACAGCCAACCCAGAAGGTGTAAGTGGCCCGGAGACCACCTCATTACAGCTCCTCTTGGAATACATCAAGCCCCACCTCCCCTCCCAGATAATGAAAAGTGCCACACAAGCCAGGAAAAGCCCAGATAAGGCTCACCTTTGTTTGTGTCCCTAACTATGGACACCTCTAACTCAGAATTCAATTAATAGCATCAAAGAGCTGGCACATGTTCTCTCCCACCTAACAGCCAGAACCTAACACCCTTCTGGTCAAGAACCACGTTCCTAATTCCAACAAACATGTGCTGCCATGAACCAGGAACTGGGGGCACTGCAGTAAACACAAGCGTTCCTGCCCTCACCGACTTCAGTGACAACCAGTCTGACACAAAACAAAATCAGTCCATAAACAAGAAAGCACAAGCACCTCTCCACAAAACTTCCAGATCCGACCCCTCAAACTCCTTTGCCTCGTGCCTTTTCAGTAAACATGTCACCAGGAGAGGAGCAGCAGCCACCGTCCACACAGCACGTACAGACCTGCTCCTCTGACTCAGTTCATAAAGTACCTTCTGTGAGCTCTCTGCAAAACTAGCCAAGATATTGTTTCAAAAAAACTATGTGTAAAATTAATGATGCCTCAGATGCACTATGATCTCACTACAGGAACTATGATGGCCAGTTATCAATTTTTTTTTATTTTTAAATCAATGACCTATGTAGTCCAAGGTTAATGGCACCTGCCAAGGGAAGGAGGGCAGTGAACTACCTACGTAATCAAAGGCTCGGGGGTACTCTGTGTGATGCTTAACAATCTAACACTGTGCCACTGCCACCCACCCACTGTCATGGGACACTTTTACACCATCTCAAGTTGCCTTTGAGTTGCTTGACCAGGATCAGGAAGGGGACGCCCAGCTCTGCAGGAGAGGTAGTGGAATGTAAAATGAAAGAGTAGGAAATGGAAGGGAGGGAGAACCAGGAGATAAGCTCTCATCACTGCTTTAATCCACTTCTCTGTATTTCCCAAGAACTTCCTAATTTTCTTATCCATATGAATTTTGTGAGGAATGTGGGTTTATTTTAATAAATTTCACAGTTGATCAAGATAGTTCCATTTGATATTATATTTCTTTTACCGAAAACAAGGTGACATATTAATCTGTATGTATATAACTTAGATTTTTCTCCCCAATTGGGGTGTGTGTGAGGAGCCCTATTTCAAGTTACACTGACCAAGCAGCTGGTGGCCAGGTGACCTCACTGAAAATGCACATTGGTGCGGTTTCCCAGTGGCAGCCTCCAAAACTTTCCAACTAGTAAAGGACTAGTTGTTTAATTTTTTTTTTAAGTCGTGACTGTGAAAGTCAAAACGATACCATCCTGGACAGATGTGCATGTTGGTCACAGCACTGACAGAACCCAGGAACTGCTGGCCCCAAGGTTCAGGTCACGGCCACAACATAAGCCTAACTGACATGCATACTCCACCGACTGAGAAGAAAATACCCATCCATGACTTCCTAATTTCATAACAGAGAAGCTACATCATCTGTAACTTAAGATTCAGAAAACTAAACATGGACTTATCATACATTGGTTTTAACTTTTTAATGGAAGCTTGGAGTTGGTGACCCACAAGTGCACAAATACCCACATCTTGATCCATGTGGGAGCTTCCTAGTGTGACCTTGCACTGGGGTCAGCTGAGTCAGTCATAAAAAGCCACACTGGTGCAAGTATGGCCTCAAAACTGCTCTGTTTCACTGCTGGCCACCCTTTGGTAGAGACTGAGTTCAAAATTCCAACTGCTGACATAATTCCAGACCTGTGGCCAAGGAAAGAGAAAGGAAAGAACAGCCTTAGCAGCTACCATTTCTGCAGCACCTATGGGCCAGGCATTGCCTTAGTGCAAGCATGAGCTGCAAGTTTGACATGCTTGTCTTAGTGGCTTACATGTGTGATCTTTTCTTTTCATCTTTACAACTACCTAAGGATGTTACCACTGCCACAGTTTGAACAAGGAAAACACTGGTGACATTTAAGCAATATACACAGGTCTGGGACCATCACTGATCTTTCCAACACCAGAGGACACAAATCCTTTCTCAACTCTCACCTCTGACACCACCGCCTCGGTTGCTTTGGACTATGAGTCACTACAGTGTTTCTGAAATCACTATCTTTCCCTTGGGCCTCACAAAGATCGGAGATTCCATAACATAGTCACCCTCCGTGACTCTCTTTCCTTTTGTTGCTGAAGTTAAAAGGACCTCAGAAGGAACGCCCATGAAAAGGATTAGCTGCAGCACCATCAACCTTTTACCCCAATATCCTTTTTTTTCTTTTCTTTTTTTTAAGGAGACATAACCTGAAAACTTCATATCTGAAGTACTGTCACTAAATGTCACTAAAATGTTTTAGCAAAAACAAACAAACCCACACAGGTAAAGCAAATTTCACAAAATATTCATTGTTAACTACAGGTAGCAGGAATATATAGGTGTTCACTATCCTTTCAAGTTTTCTTTATTTTTTTCCCAGTTACAGATTATATTTGATATTATTTTGTATTAGTTTCAGGTCAACTTTTCTTTATGTTTAACATTTGCAGAGTAAAACAAAACAAAACAAAACAAAAAACAAAAAACACGGTTTTAATTGCTTCCCTGTTGCTGGTTTCTAAAAAAACAACAAAAGCCCAAAACAGATCATTAACTTTTTATTTTCTAAAGTGGGGTTTTCCACAAAGGCTTTCACTAAACCAAACCCAATCTGCAATAACAACTTTCTTTGGCTCCAGGGGTGTTGTTCCCCGACAGAGAGAGAATCTGAATGGCACTTGGGCCAACAAACGATTTCTGCCTGAACTGTTATTTCCTCAGAGTGCAAGAACCTGTTTACTTTAACTTTTTGTGGGAACAGAGTACAGATGGAATTTAAAGCTTAAAGCATTGCTAATAAATAGCTAGGTTTTCATTCCCCCAAGCTAGGGATGGACCCCTCATCTCCCAGTACTGGACACTGTGATGCTTTCCTGAGATAGAAGTTATGGGTGGCAATGAGTAGAAGGAAATTAAATCTGAAATTGTTCTTCCTCTGGCCGCCCAACCTCAGAGCTGAGTATGAAAAAGGCTACGGTAGCTGCAGAATTAAGCTCCCAAAATGCACAGACACTTACTTCCCAGAGTTGATTCCTTTCATGTGGTCTGTGTAAATGTAGATGTCAGGTATAAACTTATTGAGGATGCTTCTTGCAGAATCCACAATCCGGTTCGCCATCTGAGGTGAAACACGGACGGAGTACCTGCAACCTAGAGTTAAGGGCGTCATTCTCCTTGGACTTCAGAGTAGAAAAACAACAAGAGCTAGCAAATATTTGTCAAACTGTAATGATAAACTGAGACTTCTAATTGCATTTAATTTTCTAACTGTACTTCATCACTTACCATCACCAATTTTTATTATTATTTTATTTAATATATAACTTTACATTATAGTTATAAAAGGCTTAAATGCTCATGGTGGGGAATAAACAAACAATATAGAGAGTTGAAAAGTAAAACCTTCCAACCTTGATGTAAATTTCCCACCCAGACCCCTGCCCTTAGAAATGATTCAACTCGATTCTGGAATAAATAAAGGCAACTGCCTCCTATGGCATGAACCAAGCGCCTTTTGAGGGATTCTCTGATCATCCCCATTGCTGTAACCAACGAGTCTCTCTTAGGACCTAAGATAGGAACAGATGCTACACTGTTGATAGAAAAAAACAGAGAAAAAAAGAGAAAGAAGAAAAAGAGCATGGTAGCTGCTGCATATAAAGGTCTAAACCGGTTTGTAGTTTATTAAATGCACAGAGACTATTTTCGATTATTTGAGTATCAATCACTCCATTTGTGGACGATTCAGACTATGCACAACTGCTACCTTTTGGTCAAAATACTGGTGATCAGCACTTTTATAACAGGGACCCCAGGAAGGAGAGGAGGAAGATATTAGCAACACAAGTAAAAGGACCGGTGCTTAAGAAAGTGGAAAACAGAGATTGGCTCTCCCCAATCCCATGAACCAAATAAAAATAAGTGTGTAATGAGCACTTTTAATGTGCGTGCAATGCATGGCCATAAGCCAGCTAGATATGCAGGGCAGGGGCTAAAAGAAGCCAGAAGTAATAACATGTGCTCTTCCCACTCCCCTTATACAAACCTCATGTGGCAAGTCCAACAAGGAAAACAAGGTGTGTGGTCTGCCCATTTCAGCTCAACTCTTCAAAAATTACTATCAATGACACATTTAATTTTCATTTGAACTGTAGAATAAAATGCTCTGAGTCTGTGCAAAAATTTGATTAGCATCTAACTTCCCTTTTTGATCCATCCTAAACATTCCACCCAAAGATTAATCTTCCTCATGCTGGTGAGAATCTCCCAGTAACTCCAGACCCTCCCAGATCCCGCTGCCAGACCCTCCGGCCCGCTCAGTGTTCATCCCTAACCTGGCAACCTCACCCACCCCTCCACCCATCCAAATTCTTCACCCCGAACTACCCTTCCTTCATCCTTCCAAGTCCAGAGTTCCCTCCCTCTTCTGAAACTCTCCAGCCAGCACCCAACTGTGATCAGCACTTACACTTACCATCCATCTCCCTTCGTACACACACATGTTCTCAGTCGTCAATAAGACTACAGACTCCATAGCAAAAGGGCTCTGCTGCTGCATCCCTCACGACTCTATATTACACTACTTTTGTACTCAGAAATATTCGATAAATATTTGACTTGTCTCAAAGGACAAAGCTGAAATGAGGAAAGAGCAAAGAGGGATTTTTCAATACATACACACACAGAGCCCAGTTACATCACCACCTCTCTGTCCAGAGTGTACTTTTGACCACAGATAGCTACGACAAACAAGCCCGGGTCTCATACCCTTTGGACCAGGTGGGTGTTGTCCTTCTGAGTCCGAGGCTGCTCACTCTCCCTAGGAGAGCACAGATGTCACTATCCTGACACACAATCCCACAGCGTTCATGGTTCCCAAAGTTGTCTTAGGTACACTGTCAACTTACTCTATGTTCTTTCACTGTCAACTTACTCTATGTTCATGGCAACCCTTTGGCAGGGACTATGGGCCCCCAGGTCCAGGACTTACACTGAGGACAGGTGGGTCACAAAACTAAGATTCAAAATTAAACAGATCTACTTCCCAAAGACAACCTCCTCCCCCAACCCTTCCAGAGATGTGGAAACCAAGAGGGAGACAGCGCCAGTGCAGGGCCTGTGCAAAGGTATGCTTGAATTCAGGCCATGAAGTAAAGAAGGTAAAGGAGCTTTAAACTAGTACATCCCATAGTCACTACGGAGCCACATGTTCCCCACCAAGGAACAATTAAGGTTCTAGAATCAGACTGTGTGGAAGTCCCAGCTCCAGCAAACTGCATCCTGCTGGCTCAAACATGCTTTCCTTTGTCCCTTCACTTCCTCATCAGTAAGAGAAGAATACTCTTAATACTCTCCCTACAGGGTTTGTATGAAAGGCTCAAATGAAAGGTTGCATGTAACGTGACTAGTGGTGCCTGGTGGACGGTTGGAGCCCAACAAATGTCAGCGATTGCCTTTCTTACCGTTAGTCCAAGATTCAAATCCCAAAGCAAAGGTTCTTTTCCTTTATGGACTAGAGAGCCCTCTAAGAATCTGATGAAAGCTATGACACTCCCTCAAGAAACACATTAACACACACTGTGATAGACAAATTGGAGGTTATGAATGTCCTGAAGCTTATTCATGAATACTATACATCCTAGAGTGACACATTCATAACTACAGTCCATATGGAACTTCACCCTCCCTAGGACTGCAGGTCAGAGAACCCCAAGGAGTACATTCGTGTGTGTGTGTGTGTGTGTGTGTGTGTGTGTGTGTGTGTAGAGAGAGAGAGAGAGAGAGAGAGAGAGAGATTGATTCTCTAAGTACCTATAGTCAGAGAAAGAAAACCATATTGTCCCACAAATTCCAAGTCACACCCCCACTTCTGCCTCTACCTCAGTTTATTCAATAAACTCTTTACGTGCCAGATCATGAGCGACCAGGCCACACTGTAAAACACTCTCACCCACATCAGGCAGGGGGAAGACGAGAGTGGGTGACATTAAATAAACAATAACCACACCATTCAGTCACAGCTGCTAGCAGGAACCAACACCCGTTCCCTGCCAGGCCCTGGCCAGTCAATCAGAAGGAAAAAGATGCACTTTGGGCGGTAGCTCCTTAAAAACCACAAATACACAGAGGAGAGTGGGAATAGTTCTCCCATCTTGAGCCCTCCTGTGGGGAATATAAACTCCAAGCTCTCAGTTCAACAGTTAACCAGCCTTGCAAGTAAAAATCACAAACCCAGCTAAAACTTTTCCAAAGGCAGCTCTTTTCTTCCCAGGCTCCAATCCTGGCCAAGAAGGTGATCTCAATTCAAGCCCACATTCCTTTGAGGTGTTTGTGAAATGAGCTGCTCTGCACACCAGAGGCAGGAATGTTTGGTTTGGAGGCAGGTATCAAAGCAAAGGTATTTTCCCAGCGAGTTTAGAGCAACACTGAGGAGGACTCAGGGGTTATACCCCCTGCCTCAAGCAAGGGGAGGGGCTTGGGCCCTCACTAGAGTCTCTGGCTCAGATTTTGTACAAGGAACACCAGAGGGAGAAGTTAGGAAGGAACAAAATAAAACCCCAGGTGCCCGGGGAACCACAGCCTTCAGCTTCCGTGTTCTCTATATAACCCAGGATGCTCACCCCTTTCCCAGCAACATCAAAGGCTCGCTTATGAGGCTTTTCTATACCCAGTAAAAAGGGTAGTATCAGGCTGAACCCCAGTGTGTCAACCTTCATGAAACCCATGTCGTTACCACAAGATTGTATCAAAACACGCACACTCCAGGAATCACATTTCCAGACTAGGATTCTAAGCAGAGTTCACCGCTAGTAAACAAATCTCGGTGAGAGGGAGGAAGAAGGAGAGGGGAAAGCAGCCAAAGTGTAGAGACAAAGAAACATGTCACAAATTAAAGAAATGGAGAAAAGCAAACAACTGGATATAGAGTTTAAAACCACAGTTATAAGGTTATTCAAGAATCTTCTAGAAACCTCCAAGAAATTTAGTGAAACCTTCAAGGATATGAAAAAGGACTAATCAAAAATTAAGCATACACTGACTGAATAATACACAGAGATTCAACAGCAGACTACAGAATCCCAGGAATCAAGTCAAAGATTTGAAATACGAAGAAGAAAAAAACATCCAACCGGAAAAGCAAAAAACAAACAAACAAACAAACAAAAAAAATCCAAAAGTATGAAGATAGCGTAAGAAGCCTCTGAGACAACTTCAAGCATACCAATATCCATATTATGGGGGTGCCAGAAGAAGAGAGAAAGCAAAATACTGAAAACCTATTTGAAGAAATAATGACCAAAAACTTCACCTACCTGGTGAAAGAAATAGACTTACAAGTCCAGGAAGTGCACAGAACCCCAAACAAAAGAAATCCAAAGAGGACCACTCCAAGATACATCATAATTAAAATGCCAAGGGCAGCCGAAACCAGTTTGGCTCAGCAGTAGAGCGTCGGTCTGCGGACTAAAAGGTCCCGGGTTCAATTCCGGTCAAGGGCATGTACATTGGTTGCGGGCACATCCCTGGTGGGGGGTGTGCAAGAGGCAGCTGGTCAATGTTTCTCTCTCATCAACATTTCTAACTCTCTATCTCTCTCCCTTCCTCTCTGTAAAAAAAATCAATTAAATATATTTTTAAAAAATAAAAATAAAATAAAATGAAATAAAATAAAATGCCAAGGGCAAAAGACAAAGAGAGAATCTTAAAAGCAGCAAGAGAAAAACAGTTAGTTACCTACAAGGGAGCACCCATACAACCGTCAGCTGATTTCTCAACAGAAGCTATGCACCCAGATGGGAGTGGCAAGAAATATTCAAAGTGATGAATAGCAAGAACCTACAACCAAGATTACTCTACCCAGCAAAGCTATCATTCAGAATTGAAGGTCAGATAAAGAGCTTCACAGATAAGAAAAAGCTAAAGGAATTCATTACCACTAAACCAGTATTATATGAAATGCTAAAGGGTATTCTTTAAGAAAAGAAAAAGAAAAGGTAAAGATAAAAATTATGAACAACAAAGTGACAACAAATACATATCTATCAACAAGTGAATCTAAAAATCAAGTGAATAAAAAAATCTGATGAACAGAATGGACTGATGAATATAATAGAATCAGGGACATAGAAATGGAGTGGACTGACAATTCTCAGGGGGAAAGGGGTGTGAGGGGTGTGGGAAGAGATTGAACAAAAATCTTATACCTATGGATGGGGATAGTGGGGGTGGGTGGGTAAGAGCATGGGGTAGGGTGGGAACTGAGTAGAGGGGAACTATTTTTTTTGGGGGGGGAGAAACTGTAATAATCTCAACAATAAACATTTAAGAAGAAAAGAAACATGAAAGACTCCTGCTTCTGTGGGGCTCAAGATTCTGTGAAAGGAATGGCTGGCTGGGCATGTCATGAAGACAATGTGGTGAGTAGTTCCAGAACTGACTGGCCACACCACTGTCACTGCATTATAATGCCCCTTTCATTGCACTGGTTCATCTCCCTTCTCAACCTGCCTGTTGCCACTTGAAATATATATTGGTTCATTATGATGCCAAGTGGTAACATGGGAGTGTTTGATCCAACAGAAATGTACAAAGGAGTGCAGGTGAAGTCACCCGTGGAAGAAATCATCATCAAGCTCTGTCACATCATCAAGCAGCCAGAGACTACTTACCTCTATCCTTAGAACCACGACCAGAGAGTATATTTTTATAAAAAATATATATATATATTTATTTTTAATATTTAAATAAAATATTTTTGCTGTATTTTTAACATATAAAGTATTTAAAAATCAAAACAGACAACAAAAACTAATGCCACACATCACCAACATTTGTAGCTATTATCAGAACAAACCTCTCTACCCAGGTGCCTAAGTGAGAAACATCAAAATCATCCTCACGACTCCCTGCTCCTCTATTACAGATCCAGGTAATCATTGTGTCCTATCCATCCTACCTTTCGGATCCTATAAACTAGAGACCTTACCTGTCCTCCAGCATCTACCCTCACTGTTTCTCTTTAGGGCATAGTAACTCCACTATCTTTGCCTCTAAGTGCTGGTCGTTAGTTGATTTTCTTTTTTAACTTGTACTTTCCAAAATTTCTATAATGAACCAAAAATTCTTTGGTACCACCAGTATCATCCTCTTAATATGCAAATTCATTTTAACAGAAAACTGTTAACTTCGGAACTGAAGAACAACGCCTCAGCATGGCCTTCCACCTGCACTGGCTCCTGACCATCTTTCGTTTATCACCTTCTACTGCCGAACACCATTAGCTGGTGCACTTGGGCCACAGCACACTGCTTACCGCTCCCCAGAACCACCATGCACCTGTTACCTCCACACAGGCCCACTTTTCTGCCTGAAGCACTTTTCCTTTCTTGCTCCACTTCACAAGCCTCTAGTCTATAAGGCTCAGTCCAAATGGCCTGTGCATCGGTGGCCCCCAAACCAAAGCCCTCAGAAGAGTATCACATACATGGGAGCTATTTAAGTGTTATCAGAAATAAGAAAATGAACGGATCAATCAGTCAGGTCATGGTGCAGCAGCTAATTAAGCATCACAACCCACCCAACAATTACAGTTTCACTGTTAAGATTTTTCCATGATTGTTGTCTAAAATGTAAAATAACTCTGGGAAGAAGTAAACTGGTTGTGAGTTACTCTTCATGAGGAGAGAAAATAATAAGAAATCTGAACCAAATGCAAAGGATACGCCATTCCTCTGATACGTTTGATTTTTCCTGGATCTGTGAGCTGAATGGGTTTCAGGACCTTCCTTATGGGACACGAGAAAATCACCTCACCTCCTCCTCCGGGAGGCATTCCCCGACGCACAATCTGCACACATGGTGAGAAAAAGAGGCAAGAATACAGCAATGAGTGGATGGTCCAGACACCCAACTCAGTAAGGTTTACACCAACGGGCTCTTCCTTAGAAAGGAGACAGATCTCAAAGTCAGGCAGGTCCTCATCCTCAGGAGAAACTAGCAGGTTCAGGAGTTAATTCCATTTCTTAACCCTTTTCTCCTGTGCAATTAACTAATCTATCCAATCTCTGTATTAAAGTCATGTACCACTTAACAACAGGGGATATGCTCTGAGAAATGCACCTTTAGGTGAAGGGGTCGCTATGGGAACAGCACCGAGTATACTTACACAAACATGTATGACTACTACATATGATAAAGCCTATTGTTCCTACAACACTTACAGCATGTTACTGTACTGAATACTGTAGGTAACTCTAACACAATGAATGCTGACTATAGATCTAAACATAGAAAAGGTACAGTAAAAAAGCAGTACAAAACATGGAGCTTACAGCGCTGGAAGTTGCTCTGGATGAATCATTAAGCAATGAGCAAACATGAAGGTCTGACAGTGGTTGGCAAACTGAGGCTCACAAGCCACCCGCAGTTTGCCTCTCTGTTGACTAATAAGTTTGTCGACCACTGGAATAGGGGCTTAATCATAAGGAACAACAATAGCCTGTAATTATTGGAATCGAGAGTCTAGGTTTGCCAACCACTGGTCTAGGACATTACTATGCACTACTGAGGACTTTAAATATTGTAGACTTAGACTACATTAAATTTATTTAGGTGTTTTCACAGGGGAGTGAGGGCATGAGTTGGAGGATTGGTGGGGTAATGGAGGGATAAGGGCACATATGTAACAATTTAATCAATAAAGAAATTTATAAAAAAAAAATAAAAGTGTTTTCAATAATAATAAATAAACCTTGGCTTGTAACATTTTTACTTTATAAATTTTAAATTTCTAACTTATATAACACTTAGCTTAAAACACCAACATGCATACCAGCTGTACAAAAATATTTTCTTTATATCCTTATTCTATAAGCTTTTTCTATTTTTTAACTTTTTTGTTAAAAACTAAAACACAATAACACACACATTAGCTAGGCCTTCACAAGGTTAGGATCATTAAACCTACTGTCTTCCCACTTCACATCTTGTCCCACTGAAAGGTCTTCAGAGGTAATAACACAAATGAGCTGTCTTCTTATAACTATGCCTTCCTTTGGAATACCTCCTACAGGACCTACCTGAGGCTCTTCTTGAGGAAATATGTCCACTTTGGTTTTCTTAGTTTGTTTCTTTTTTCATCATTTTTTGCTGGTAAGCAGATTTACATCACGAAAATTCCTCTCTATTAATGAAAACCTTTTGGTGTTGGGGAAGGAGTCTGTGTTTTCAAACTTTTTAAGGAGCTTTTTGAGTTCTTCAAAAACTTCTGCTAAACACTTAATTGGGAATTTTCTTTCCCTTCTCCTGCAATTCCTTTTCTCTTCCCACTTTTTCAGCTATGCATTCCTGTCCCAGTTCCAACAACTCTCGGTTAGCCATTTCCTCAGGAACCACCTCTAGGAGTTCCTCAATGTCAGCCTCATCCACTTGCAGGTCAAAGTTGTTTGCCAACTCAACCACAGCACTGTTGATTTTTGCAACATCCTAAGTCTTAGAAAATCCTTTGAAGTCATGGACAAACTAACTGAATGTCTTCTTCCAGGTGCCATTGATATACTTCTTGGTGACATCACCCAAGCCCAAGCTTGGGTGATGCAGACATGGATTACTGTAATCCCAGAATTGCATCAGTGTTTTTTCAGCATCTTCCTCAGCTGCAGCAATAGCTTGGGCAAAGGTCCTCCTCAGGTAGAAGGCCTTAAAAGCTACTATAACTCCTTGACCAATTGATTCAATAAAAGAGGTAGTGTTTGGGCAAAGAAACACAACTTTGATATTGGGATAAAGATCACCAATAGCTGAAACCGGTTTGGCTCAGTGGATAGAGCATCAGCCTGCGGACTGAAGGGTCCCGGGTTCAATTCTGGTCAAGGGCATGTACCGTGGTTGCGGGCACATTCCCAGTAGGGGGCGTGTGCAGGAGGCGGTTGGTCGATGTTTCTCTCTCATGGATGTTTCTAACTATCTCTCTCTCTGTAAAAAAATCAATAAAATATATTTTTTAAAAAGATCACCAATAAAAGGAAGATGTCCAGGAGTACTGTTATCAATAAGCAAAATCTTAAAAGATAGATAATTCTCCAAATAGTACTTTTCCATTCCACTGACAGTAATTCAAAAGGGCATCTTGGAAGAGCAGCTGGATCGTCCATGACTTCTCACCAAACCTGTAGGATATTGGCAGTGTGTGCTTACTGATAAGTTTAAAAGGCCTTTGGGTTGAACTTGGCCAGCTAACAAAGGTTTCCGTTTGTAGCCAGAAACAATGCCCCCAAGCAAGACATTATCCTATTCTTGGGATTGACCTGACCTTCTTATGGATGAAAGTCTTTTCAGGCCTCTATTTCCAGAATAGGGAGGTTTCATCCATACTGAAAGTTTGTTCTGACAAGTAATTTTCTTCCACAAATAGCTTACCTAGAGCAGCAGTGGTCTGTGAGGTCCAAAAGGTTGGCGACCACTGGTTTAAGGAAACCTTTGGAGCAGCGGTTGCCAACTGGTAGTCCACAGACCACTGGTGGTCCGTGAGGTTCGAAAGGTTGGTAACCACTGATCTAGAGTATCCCAAATTCTTCAGCTCCCTTTCATGGCACTCACAGACTCATTACTCAATTTCACATTATGTAATGAATAAACATGCTTGAATTCTTTAAACCATCCAGAGCTAGCAGTAAATTCAACATCGTAATCGAGTCCAGCATTCTTTCAGCATCCCAAACGAACTTTTTGTTTTGGCTGTGATTGTCACAATGCTGAGAGGGATACTGTGTCTAGTCTTCAATCCAGGTCATTAGAAATTTCTCCAAGTCTGATACAGGCCCTTCTCGAATTTGTGTTAGTCTTGTTAGCTTTCATTACTTGGCTTTTGTTCCTCAAGATCATATCATAGCTATGGTGGAATAGGACATGCCTGACTGGTATGCAATAACCACTACTGGTTTTCTACCTTTGTAGTCTCTAATCACTTTGCAATTTTGTTTCTAGGTCAATCACTCAACATAGCCTCTTACTGGAATGCTACGGTGGCCTCTGTATGCTTAGGGGCTATTATAAACAAAACAACATGAGATTCATACATAATTGTCTGTGTTATACTTTTATTTTTTAAAATATATTTTTATTGATTTGCAAGAGGAAGGGAGAGGGAGAGATAGAAACATCAATGATGAGAGAGAATCATTGCTTGGCTGCCTCCTGCATGCTCTCCACTGGGGATCGAGCCCGCAACCCCAGCATATTCCCTTGATCGAAATTGAAGGCCAACACTCTATCCACTGAGCCAAACCAGCTAGGGTTGTATGTGTTATACTTTTATACGACTGGCAGAGAAGTGGGTTTGTTTATGTACACCAGCCTCATCATAAAAATGTGAGCAACATGTTGCACTATGATGTTAAGACATAATTTATATGCATATGATCTAGATTAGAGAAGCATTATAGTTAGAATCCTAACTCTACTACTTATTAACTGAGTGACACAAATGGAGTTGTTATGAGTAGTAAAGTATTAATACTTGTAAAATGTTTACAACAATGCCCACCACAAAGAAAGTACAATATAACTATTGGTTACTATTGTCCTTCTAACGGGTCCTTTTCAACTCAAAGTTTGTCATGTTTGTATGTCCTATGGGTTTTCTCATAAATGTTGACTTCAAATATCACACACACAAACTCACACACACATACACACACACACACACACACACACACACATACGGCTCTTCCAATGAGTTGGTAAAGAAATGTTTTACAGATGTATACAGAAAAAAAGTTCATTCTTACCTTTAGCTCAAGTGATTCACCATCAATTCCAAACTGTTTCAAAACAGGGAGGGCTGTTGTCTTAAGAACATCAACCTGCAGAATTATTTCAAATAAATAAAACGTTTCATTAAACCTTGAGCAGAAGGGAAGAAACAGCCAATGAAGCAAGTGGAGACATAGCAACCAGGTAGATGATGTATACTCTGGTAAAGAAAGAGGATGCTGGCTTACACTGAGGGCATGGGAGCACTCTGCTTCCGAGTAAAACAGATTTTATAAGCTACTAGCTCCTCTGAGCTCCTTTCCTCATTTTTGACATGGAGACTTATACCTATCTTACAAGTCATGATCAGGACCAAAAACACATGCAAAAAGTATGAGAAAATGCAGGATTCATATAGAACAAACTTGGACCTCTGCTCATTCTTTTATGTATTTATACTACAGGGAAAAAAATACCATATTTTTTATTAATCTTTTCCCAACACGGTTGTTTAATCTTTAAAGCTTGTAGCACACCAAAGCCAAAGCAAACCAAAGAAAAAGGAGTCAACAGCTAAGAATATCGCTGATGCTCACTGCATAGGCAGTGAAAGAAAGGGTGGTTCTGTAAGAAAGTGAGGGCAACGGAGAAATGATTGCCTCAAACTACCTGAAGCAACACAAACCCACAACTGCACAGTTAATGGCAAGGCTGTGTCAAGTATGACTACTCTCTCCTCCTTATTCAGAATTCATAGGAGGCCTGGGGTCCTATCCTGTTCACATACAGATTCCTCAGAGTATAAGAATGACATTCAAAGCATGGTGACCCAACAAGACAGTGAATGCTGACTCAACTGCAACATGGGAAAGAAAGTCACTCCCTTCTTTGCTCCCAATGGGCAAATGGCCGTTCCTAGGCACTTGGGAGCTGACCCTGTCAGGAGCAGTGAGGGAAGGCAGCGAGAGCAGAGGATTGTAGGGGAAAGTGCTGGTCCTAGTTCGGGCTCTCTCTCTAGTGAGCTGCATTGTCTCAGTCAACTGTCTAATTACCTTATCTCTAAGCAAGGCTGTCAGCCCATTTCAATATGCTAAGACTCAACAGAATGATACTCCAATAAGGCTTTATAGCAGAGAATAGGCCCTGCCTACACATTCTGGTGTCAGAAAATTAACATGAGGTAGAAATGACCTATGAAGTCTAGGATCATGTAGATAATGGATGATGGGGGCGCTGAAGAAGTTACTAGGAAAACTCATTGAAAATTAGCTCGTTTCAACCTAAATATTAAAGTTAAATACACCCAAATACTTAAAACATACATTTGGGATGGCCAGCACCAAGGAGATAAAATTCAGCCTAGGCTAGTATTAAGGGCAGCTGGGGAGAAGGCCAAGGCAGATTCTGGAAAAATCAGGGGACACAAGGATGTGGGTTACTCTACCCACATAACTCCCTGGAACGAGGCAGCCACCAGCTCTCCTTGGGACAGAAAAGGCAAGAAAGCAGAACAGCCCTTCTGGTTCAACCTCCCTGTACCTAGAGTCATACAGGATGAAGTCAGATTTACTCTGAGGTTCAGCCAGAAGCCTGAGTATAACTCCAGGTGTGGTCCTGTCTCCTAAATCACTCTCCATCTGATGCAAAAGGCAGGCAACTCGAGTGGTGCAACGAGGGCTGGAAGAACACATGTAGGCTCGAGTCTCACTCTGCCTCTTACTAGCTGTGAAACCTGCACACTCCCTACCTCCCCAGGGCCTTGGCTTCCTGCTGCGCAATAGGGACTGGCCTGGATGTGTTCCAGTCTCCTCTGGCTCTGCACCATAGTTTCAGTAGAGTGGGGGTGGGCTGCAAGTTCTACTTAAGAAAAGCTGAACACTCAGTGGTTAGGAAGAAAAAGCAAAAGTCTGACCCAAGTGGCATCTCAGGGCACAAGTTCACTCAATCAATCAACAGGTAGAAATGTCATCAGATACAATGCCACTATAAGGGAAGAAACTTCTCTCAGTTACCTTGTCTGAAACAGTGGCTGGAACCCCATTTCACAGGGTTTGTACCAGAATTAAATAAATATGGCTACATTTACTAAAACTGTGCTCAATACACAGCAGACTTTATTGTACTTCATTCCCCTTCCAGAATGGTAATGAAAAAGAATGGATGTTGGCAACCAATAAATATCTATCGCTATTAGGGGTTCCGGGGCCAAATCACTGAGCTTCAAAGGAGATGTCCTGGAACTTTGCTTCTTCCCAAAATGTCTCCCCATTTTCTATCTTTTGCCTCTGAAAGAAAAAAAAAAAAAAAAATGTTTCTACCTATTTATAAGGCTCATCCCAGCACTTCTGCTTACGATGCTCATCCCTTCTGGACTTCTGAAGAAGCTACCCTTACTAAGTCCCCCAACCCTTTAATTCTTTCCTTCTCCATTGCAGTATCTCCTCAGCCTACAAGCAAGCTCAAATCTCTCATTCAGAAAACTATTTCCAAACTCAGCTCTTCAGGAATCACCCTATCTAATCTTCTGAATCTCCTTTCCATGGTTCTTTCTTATTCATCCCTCACCTTGTGACAGTCCTTACACACTGCTCTCTCAAAGGTTAATAAAACTTCTCATTGCTAAATCTCCCTTCCCAATCCTCAATCAATTCTTGGCTTCTCCAAATTCAACTCCTGGTTGGCTTCTCTAAACACGTCTACCTCCACTCACTGTCTGCAGCTTCTCTTCCCCTACTCACTCCTTACACATCCATTTCGTCTTCTATTCTCGGTCCCTGGGACCATGCAGCAAAACCTCTACTGCTCAATACAGGCCAGAAGGGGAATGTAAATGAATGATGAGATCAGCTAAGACCTCCAGCTAACTGGAGAGCTCATGCCTTTTCCCAAGAGGGCAGCTACTACTCAGCTCCAATGGGAGGCTGTTGGGGAAGAACTGCCATCAATGCTGCCGCATCAACCTCTTACAATGTAAAATTTGGGTTCCAAACAGGAACATTCAATTCAGATACACACACCACCACCTTGTGCACGCCAAAGGAAAAATACTGATAGTTGTTTTACTATCTGCATCAGGATTAGCTCAGACAGTAAGCTGCCGGTGTTCAACTTTGCTCAGCACTGGTCAATCTCATTCTCCTAGGGATTTAACTACCAGTAGATAAGATACTGATGACCTATCACTGAAGCTCCAGACATTAATGTCCAACTGCCAAATGGACAACCACACATGGATATCCTCCCAACATACCAAAAATCAAACACATCACCCAGTTACCAACCACAATTTTCCTCTTCCCTGTGTTCAACTCCTTCTCATCACTACCCTTCAAGTCAACCAGGACAAAAAATCATGAAGTTATTTTATGAACACTTCCTCCTATCCCATCTCCAACTAGCTGTCAAATCATGAAGTCTCCCCTCAACACTGCCCTTCATATCAGTTCCTTCCTATCTACTTCCATCTCTATTATGTTCAAACTAATTGACAAATCTCCAATTCATCCTTCTATCAACCTCCACAGTGCTCTTACTAAAAACCAGGCTGATTCTGTGGTTTCCCTTCCTCTACAAAACCCTCCTTAACCTCAGCACTTTGTTTGTACCTCTATCAGAACCCGAGGTACTCAGCCTTGTAGCCTCCCCTCTATGTGTTCAAAGCTATCCACCCGATGAGAACAAGTTCCCAAAGGGCAGAATGCATCATATTCATCCTGAGGCAGACAGCAAATGTGGGCATGAACTGATGGGGAAACCACATGTTTAAGAGAAAGCTCAAAATGAAGAAGCCACAGGCTGAAGAAGTTATTCTTTATCTAAGATTAGGTATACTTATTTTATCCTGGGTTGGAGCCAAGTACTATCCAAGGTCATTTTAGTCTTGCAGGGAGCAAAAGCAGTCCTGTAGCTTATGAAAACAGATTTCTTTGATATGTTCTACACAAAAGAGTTAATTTCTGGGGAATTCTTCAACTAACCTTTGTTAATACATAAGACTTTTAAAAATATTGCCAGTGATAACAGCTTTTAAGGTCATTAGCAATTATAGAAAGAGTACAAAACTGGGACACAGTGCCAAAGTCTCCTGTATGCTCGGGGCCTTTCCCGTTACTCAAGGCACCTTTTCTCCATCCTCCACCTAGAAGTGTAGAGGCCTCCCCTTGGAAACACTTTAAACTCAAGGGCCCACTTCCTAGAATCTTCCAGAAAAAAAATACAAGAAAAAAGCAACCCTTTGAAATCAGTTTAAAATTCTAGACAGTTTATTCAGCATTCCTTTACAGCTAAGAATTTCAGATCACTGTACTAAGATTCTAGGAAAAGAGTTTATGTACCCAAATTCCCAAGAATTGGGAAATAAGTATTTTACTGCCTAAGAACACATTAACCAGGTTTATACTCTAAAAGTGTATAGGTGAATACCAGCAATCTCCATTGTGCAGCTCATAAACCACCTAACTGGTCTTCCCTGGTTAGAGAAGCTAGATACTTCACATTCTACCTTAGAAGCCACCCCTTCATTGGTCTTCAGATTGAAAAAAAAAATTTTTTTCAATTATACTTTATATTCAGCATTATTTTATATTAGCTTCAGGTGTACAGCGTGTACTTTACAAGGTGTTCCCCCTGATATTTCCAGTATGCAACTGGCACCATACGTAGTTATTATAATATTATTGACCCTTCATCAATCTTGGTGTCATGTCTATAGAGGTGAAGGTAAGAGTCATCAGTCAGGACTTGGCAGAGTGGCCACAGGCATTAAGATACCCTCTCTGGAAGCAGAGCATCTAAAGGTGAGGATCCTTCTCTTCCTATGAGAGGTCTAAGACAGGTCTGGAAAGAACTACTCTAATCTCTCTCTCTCTCTCTCTTCTCCTCTCTCTCTCTCATACACACACACACTCACTATACTCTCTCTCTCTCTCACAAAACGAAACCCATCCTGGACTGGCACTAAGACACTCGTGGTAGCCACAATGAAAATTCCACCTGTATATTAAACTGTCTTCCCCATACATGCAGGAAAATTAGCCTACTTAATAAGAAGGTTGCTGTGTCCTTAAATTATCAAAAGTTACAAAAACAATCCCTGTCCCTTTTTCCCCTTTTCCTAAATCTGCACTCTTCTCAGAAGAATGTCCTAAAGTTTAAATAAGTCAAGACTATGTTGCAACAATGCCAAGGAAATATTTTCTTTCTTTTTTTTATTTTTAAATTTTTTTAAATATATATTTTTAATTAATTTATTTTATAGATTATGGTCTCATATAATTGTCCTTATCCCCCCCATTCCCATCCCAATCCCCTCCCTACATATGCCCCCAACCCCCTGTTGTCCATGGCCACTGGCCAGGCCCATATGCACGCACACAAGTCCTTTGGTTGATCTCTTCCCCTTATCCCCACCCTCCCCTACTTTTCCTCTGAAGTTTGAGAGTCTGATCGCTGCTTCTCTTTCTCTGGGTCTGTTTTTATTCATCAGTTTATGTAAGGAAATATTTTCTGTCTAAAATTTTGGTCTGCTGCTTTCCAGCCTCAGCTATCACATGACCTTGTGAAAGTTTTACTCCCACACACTTCCCAACAGAGCCATATTTCATGTCAACCGTGGTGAGATTGCCAGCATCTGTTCATTTGACACGACAATGAAAGGCACCTTGATGAATGGCAACAATCATTACTGAAATTGACAGATATGAATCTTGGTTCATCTGCATCCTGCAGTGATTAATCTCTAAATCTCAAGGTAAATAATAAAACAAAAACACTCAACAATAAACCTGTGCTTTATCAGGAACTTGTTTATCAAAAGTTGAGTTGTGACAGGAGACAAAACAAAATTCACACCATGGTGTGGCTTCACTACTCACCGAGGGGTCAACCTGGTCATTGGTCACTCCTCGAAGGACTATCCTTAATGGGTGCTTCATAAATGGAGCCAGGCAAAGAAGACTCTCCAGGTAATAGCCAATGCCACGAAGGACACTGCAGTCATGTTCCACGGATCCACCATACAGGAGGCCAGGCTGGTAATATAAGGTCGTCCCTTACATAAGAGGAAAGAGAGCCACATTCAGCAGGAAAAAAACACACTTGGTGCCACAAAATCAACACAGGCAATGAATCCCAAGGGGAAAGTCTGACATGGGCATCCAAGGGAGTTCAAATGCCATTCCTAAGAGCCCACACTTCAGTCCAAAAGCTGACTCATTACTGTCAAGCCCTTGTAATAATAATAAACTGTGAGTGTAATTTAATAAACAGTAAAGCCCCTCCCCAAGCCATCTGACTTGCCAAAGTCATGGCAAGGCAGAGAGAGAAAAATCCTAACAGGTATCTTAAATCTCTCAACAGCACATTCTCAGACTTTGCTGAACAAGGGTGTTTACAAACGATGCTCTGAAACCATCACACCAGCAATCAGCTTCTTATAGGCTCTTGAAATGAGATTTCCCATGTACCACACTCACCAAACAAGACGCCTAGAAAAGCAAGTACTTTATGGCAATTCCATTAATAGTAGCTATTATAAAAGTAAACAAAAATATCTAAATTTACTTACTAGCTTTATTAGAAATGCTTTATTATCTTTACTCACTTTTTCACATATTCATAACATTCAATAAGTTTCTTACCAGATTAGCGAATTAGAGGAAAAACAAAATAAGATACTCTAGATGATCTGGGAGTATAAATGGGTGAACAAGGTCTTTTTGTTGCTTTGCAATGTCTTTTGGCACAATTTATCAATAAGCAAATTTAGCAACAGAGGAAGGAGATACATTTAGTCACTCCAAAGGAAAACAGCTCTTGGGAGTTTCATAAAATAAATTTAGGTCTTACTATATTAAAAACTAAAATCCCATCAATCACAATCAGAATCAATCAAAATCAGAATCATATTCCTCCCATGCTTTTCAAAGGGAAAGATTCTACATCAGTTATCCTACACACTATTCATGAGTCACAAAACTAATTCTCTAGTACAAAAAGCCATTTTTTTAAAAAGCTATATAGCCGGCACCGGTTTGGCTCAGTGGTAGAGCGTCGGTCTGCAGACTGAGGGGTCCCGGGTTCGATTACGGTCAAGGGCATGTACCTTGGTTGGGGGCACATCCCCAGTAAGGGGTGTGCAAGAGGCAGCTGGTCGATGATTCTCTCTCATCGACGTTTCTAGCTCTCTATCCCTCTCTCTTCCTCTCTGTGAAAAATCAATAAAAATATATTTTAAAAAATAAAAATAAAAAAGCTATATAACCATTTAATACTGCTTATCTGTTTATGCCTGCAAATCAACCAAATGAGAAATTGACCGGGTCATCAGAATGAAGTATTCTACCCTGGGGTGGAGGTGAGTATGGGAGAGTGATTTTTGCATTGGGACAGGGTAGATACAAGGTAGAAGCAGGATCATGTAAATATCTACTTCCCAACCTACACTGTTCAGAGTTTCCTTTATTGCACATGTACAGAAAGGAAAATAATACCTTCATAGATTAGATTAGAAAATAATACAGTAGGTCCTCAGTTAAGAGATCTGTTCATACGGCTTGATGTAACGTGATTTTCGTCATAAGTCGGACCTCTGAACCCACCTACATAAGCACATACGTCACTCACATGGAGCACATACACAGCAGTCATGAAGTGAAACAGTAAAAAAATAAAATAAAATAAAAAAATAAAAAATTTAAAGATAACAATTCCTGACCTTTACTTGTGGTAAATAATAAAAAACATAAAGCACATACATTCTGTGAAATGACGGAACTTTTTTTTTTTTTTTTTAATAAATAAATGGGAGATGGTGACATAACCACTTACGTCAAGTCCGGCGTAACCCGAGGACTGCCTGTATAATTTTACCTGCCCTCTGAATCACCAATATAAACTGCTGAAAAAATCTCCAGGAATTTCAAAGTAAACAAGCCAAGGAAGACTAATAGAACCATAGCCTGCAAATAGAACCGAAGCCTCATACCTAAAACCTGTTCTCTGCAACAAATTTCCTGTGGCACCAGGCCACTTACTAAGCCAAGCTTGTCTTCTTTCTTAAAAGAGACAACATGTGGGCCCTGACCGTTGTGGCTCATTTGGTTGGAGCGTTCCCCTTACATCAAAGATTTTCGGGTTTGAGTTCCTCAGGGCACATACCTGGGTTACAGGTTCGATCTTGGTTGGGTTGTGTAGGAGAGGCAAGGAATAGATGTTTCTCTCTAGTATCAATAAACATATCCTCAGGTGAGGATTAGAAAGAAGAGAGTCAACAAGTTCAGAGTTTCCTTTATTGCACATGTACAGAAAGGAAAATAATACCTTCATAGAACCCGGCAAAGATGTTTGCTTCCTATAAGATGTATATACTAGTAAAAGTGTTTCTAACAGCGAACAAACAACAAAAACTACCTATAAGCAAACTGAATGAAATAAATGATCAAGCATCCATACCATGGAATACTATATGAGGACTACTGAAATAACTGAGATTAACCTGTGACATCTGTGCTAGTGAAGAAAAAAGCTGGCTTGTAGAACATAGCAAGAGCACAAGCCTGTTGATGGTATAAGACAGCTATTTTCAACTGTCCTCAACTCACTGATTATTAAAATTCTATGGCACACCAAAAAAAAATATAAAGTGTTTTTGTTGACTGACCAAAAAAAATTAGGTATAACTCTGACTCATTCACACTGGACAGATATTATGTTCGCTATTGTCTTTTTTTTTTTTTTTTAATCTGACCATCTAAGGGAAAAAAGGTCAGTGCCCCTGATGAAATAGTCAGGTATTGCATCTTTTTAAAAGTTATTGCAGCACACTGGTTGAAAATCGCTCATCTAAGACACAGAGGTGCCCAAATAAGCAAATGCAATAGAGGAAGGTGACAAGGGTACACCCTCGCCCCAGCATGGCTGTACCTGGGGAGGGAATGGAAAGGAAACAGCTGAAGGGCTTTCACAATTTTTGCATATATTTATTTAAACTAATCTTAAAAGCTAAATAAAATTCAGCACATATAACTACCTCCTAGAGTTTGTCCTAAGATTTTGTTGTGATAATATAAGTAAACGGGCTTTGATAAGTTGTATGTTAACAAATGGTAGGTATAAAATACTTTACTGTTAAAAAAGAGGAAGTGCTTGTTTGTTGATCTGAAATTTTCAGTCTTCTAACTTCCTTAAATCAAGTGTAGGCCCCTTAAATTGACAGAGTTCACACATATCTCCAAACAATTGCATCACAAACAGAAAACTGGATGTTCCCATCTGAATATAAAATGTATTCGATCAAATGGAGTAAGAAACAGCAAGAATGATTAAGTAGTGCATGTGTAGGTGCTTTCCGGAACGGGAAGAAAAGGGGCTTACCTGTTTGATTTATTTCAATTCGAGAACCATTTGTTATTTTGTCCAAAAGCCTTATGAAGCTGGCTTCAAAATCTGTGGGGGAAAAAGAGAAAACAGAATGGACCCATGTTAAGTCACCCTTTCCAGGCGGCACTGCCCAATCAAGTTCTGCCATGGAGGGTAGGCTACTTGGGTTTTCCTCAGGACCTGAGCGGGGTCAGTGGTGGAGAACCTGGAGCAGTTGAAAAGCACTGGCTGGCAAATATATGGTTAATAGAACTGTTAGAAACAGTTCAGCTTTCATATTCCACAAAAAAAAAAAAAAAAAAAAAACAGTTCAGGTTCTATATTCCAGCAATCTAACGGGACACTAATTTTAGCAGCACAACCACCATAAGATCTATTCTTCTGACCTCAGGGGCACATGTCTAATAAGGGAGAATAGGAGTCAAATACCTACCTACTTCTCACAGAGCATCCAAAAGGGCAGATTAAAACAAGGTTACTATCCCGCCCATTCAGCACTGTCCCTTCTCCCTTCCTCTACCATCTTACTGATTTAGAACTATCTAGCCAGTTCAGTTTTTAATTTCATTATAAAGGTGCCTGATATACAGTATTACTGCCACCTTTTTTTAAATGCATGAGAAAAAACTGGAAGGGAAAACACTAAATGTTAATAAACGGGTTTCTCTTCATAATAGGATTTTATATGAATTTAATTTTCTTATTTAAATTTTAACATTCAAATTGGCTTCAATTCCTTTTAGGAACAGATTTTTATCTAAAATATAAAAGCTGGTCATTTTTTTTTTTTTTTAGAAAAGAGGATAGAAGGGCAGGAAATTATTTTAAATGTGAAATATGGAAGGACGTAGAGTGAAAACTCAGGACTCAGGAGAATATGTCGCCTCGAGCCTTCCCTAGAGTTGATCTTACACACAGAAACACACACACATACACTTTAGCTTCAATCTCCCACCCATGAATAAGGATAGCAGTCCAACTCCTCTGCACTGAAGGCACTGTAACTGCCTGACACCTTCATGCAGCTCTCACTTCTCTAGAGAACTAACAGAACTTGTGAGCACACATTCCAGCAGTCACCTGATCTGATCCCAAAGGGTCAGCAAGTCAACTAAACCAGTAGTTGGCAAACTCATTAGTCAAACTCATGAGCAGCAGTTTGCCGACCACTGAACTAAACAATTCCATCCACTTGTTCTCCTACTTAACACTGTCCCATAACTCCTGTCCTAGTAGATTCTGCAATCTGTACAAAGACCAATGGGCTCAAGTCAGAGAAACTCCAATTTGTCCTGAAACAAGTAATAATGGCAAAAATCAATAGGTGTATATTAATACTCTCATTATAGCCATACATTTTCAACTTAATCCTCAAATTAAGGCAGGAAGCGCCATTCCCATTTTATAGAAGTTTTAAGCTCTAGAATGCCTACCAGACTGGCAAGTGACAAAGACAAGAGTTGAGTCCAAATCCATTCTTCTCCAAAGTCCAGGCTCTTAAGCACACCGTGACTCTAGTTTGCCTCAGTTTTATTTTTTAATATATTTTTATTGATTCCAGAGAAGGAAAGCGGGAGAGAGAAACATCCATGATGAAAGCAAATCATGGATTGCATGCCTCCTACTGGAGACTGAACCCACAACCCAGGCATGTGCCCTGACTGGGAATCGAATCGTGACCTCCTGATTCATAGGTCAACTATCAACCACTGTGCCATGCCAGCTAGGGCTTCCTAACTCAGTTTAATCCTTCGGAGCCAACCTTTTCCCTCTAGAAAATTGTGGCACCTTTTCAACTGCAAGCCATGACCTACTGAAGAATCCTGCAGACAATTTAATGGGTCCCCAATCTCTATTTATCTTTCATAAAATTACAACAGAATAAACGATATCATAATAACTGTACATACTGAAATTTCAGCACACATACATCCTATATAATAAAAGGATAATAGGCAAATCGACTGAATTGGGGAACAACTGATTGCTATGACGTGCACTGACCACCAGGGGGAAGACACTCAATGCAGGAGCTGTGGTCAGTGCGCTACCTCAGGGGAAACACTGTCAGCCAGAAGCCCTGAGGAAGGCTCATGACTGGTGAGTGCAGTGGCGGTGGCACAAGCCTCTCCTGCTTCTGCAGCAGCGCTAAGGATGTCCAACTGACAGCTTAGGCCCACTCCAGCAAAACAGTCATAGTAGGGGACTTTAATACCCCATTGACATCAGGGAGCAGGCCTAAGTTGTCAGTCAGACATCCCCAGAGGGCTCCTGAACTGCGAAGGCACAGGCCAGGCTGAGGGGACACCCCCAGAGTGCACGAATTCATGCATTAAGCATCTAGTATAGTCGTATGTATACTAGGTGGTGATGTAAGTAACATCACAAATTTTAAAAGTAACTTAACTACCAAAGTTAACTAGAAAACTTAACTAGAAATTATTTCAATGGTCTTCTTATACAAAATAATTTTGTTGTGTGTTTTTAAGTCAGGCATGATCTATATACCATAATATCATTTCTACTTATGTTTATAGAAAATGCAAAATAGCCGAAACCGGTTTGGCTCAGTGGATAAAGCGTCGGCTTGGGGACTGAGGGGTCCCGGGTTCGATTCCAGTCAAGGGCATGTACCTTGGTTGCAGGCATATCCCCAGTAGGGGGTGTGCAAGAGGCAGCTGATCGATGACTCTCTCTCATCGATGTTTCTAACTCTATCTCTCTCCCTTCCCCTCTGTACAAAATCAATAAAAAATATTTAAAAAAAAAAATGCAAAATAGTTGACACACAAAAAAAAAAAAAGGAAAAAAAAACAGCAATTTTTTTTTTTGCTCAAGCTTCAGAGGTCCCTAAATGGGAAAGAGGTAAAAGCATCCTATACAATAAAAGGGTAATATGCAAATAGACCGAATGGCAGAACAACCGAACAACAAATCAAAGTAAAATATACTAATGACATGATAAGGTTGCTCAAGCACTTGCTATGATATGCACTGACCACAGCCTAGCCTGTGCCCTCTCCCAATCCAGGATCCCTCCGGGAGATGTCGGAGACCCAGTTTCAGCTCGATCCCGCAGACCACTCTGCCAGATGCAGGACACATGGCTGGCAAGTGCTGCTGTGGCCACATGAGCCTCTTCCAATCAGGACTGATTGGGTGCGGGCCCACGGCAGGCAGTGGGGCCACGATGAGAGGGAGTGGCAGGAAGAAGCTGTAGGCAGCGTTGGATTGCAAGTTTCAGCCCAATCCTCGCAAACCACCTAGAGGGACCCTACCCGTGCATGGATTCATGCACTGGGCCCCTAGTCTATATATAAAAGGCTAATATGTAGTGTTCTTCCCACTGTTCAACCAGTCGCTTTGACACGTACTGACCACCAGGAGACAGACGCTCAATGCAGGAACTGCTGTGTCCTACACAGAGAAATGGCACTGAGGACCTGACACTGACAAAGCAACACTAGGCTTCCCCCAAGTGGGACACAGGCCCCACCACCTCCCCAGAGCGACAGCCCACCAAATCACAGCCAATGTTGCTAAGACCCCATGGCGCTGGTCGGGTGCGGCCAGGCCCGGAGCAGCGGCTGCCAGGCTGGGAGCGGCCAGGTCCGGAGCAGCCGGGTCGGGTGCGGCCAGGCCCAGAGCAGCCGGGTTGGGTGCGGCCAGGCCCGGAGCAGCAGCTGCCAGGCTGGGAGCGGGCAGGCCCGGAGCAGCAGCAGCCAAATCCAGAGCAACTAGGTCGGGAGCGGCAGTGACCAGACCCGGAGCAGCTGGTTGTGGAATGAACCAGAGCAACAGAGGCCAGGCCCTGAGCAGCCAGGCCCAGAACAGCTCGCTCCTCGCCTGCCCCTACCCCACGGCTGCCTCTCAGACATGGCTGGAAACTCTCGTGGGAACATGAGGGTCTGCTGAATCAAGTGATGAAGGCTTAGATCTGGATGTGTTGAGTTAGTTTAGGGCTGGGGTGTTGATCTGTGAGTGCCTTGGGTGGGGCCTGGATGAGGCTGGTGGACCTATTGGGAAATGTCTTTTGTGTGAAGTGTATCATTGGGCATGTGGAGGTATTATTGATTTGAGAAAATGCTAAGTAACTGATTTACTATCTGAAAAGGGATTTACTATTGGGGAAATTGAGGGAAGAAAAGACTGAACATAAACTGCACCTATGGATGAGGACAATGGGGGATGGGGAGGGGTCGGAGGGTGGGGTGGGAACCTGGTGGAGGGGGGAAGAAATGAGGAACCTTTGTAATAATATGAACAATAAAGATTGATTAAAAAAAAAAAAAAAAAAAGACCCCATGGCGCAAAATGCGAGCCACAGCCCAGCTCAGCCCAGCCTGCAAACAATGGCTGTGGGTGCCAGGTCAAGACATCACGCTTTTGTTGACATTATGAAGCTGAAATTGTTGACAGAATGTGTCTGAAAACCAACTATTGCCAAAACATATCTTGAAGCCAAAGTGACGTTGTCAACAGAATATATCTGAAGAACAGACATCGACAAGTACTACCAGTACTGGTAGGAACTGCCTTCATTGCAAACATGAGGTAAATGATACAATTATCGAACACAGTTGTGGTGGAATGACTGTTACATGTCAATTCTGCCTATCCCCAAATTTCTCCGATGAAAACCCATCTGATGGAAAATTTACTTGTTGTTGTAGCAAAGGCAAAGTTTGTCCAAAGGATATAAATTTTCCAGAACACCTGACATATTTTTAAAAATTAATGATAAGGATTCTGACAGTAAAAATTTCATGGAAAATATTCGTTGTTACATCATGTTGTTATTGTTTTTTATTTAGTCAATTTACATATTATTTTCATGTGCATTTTACAAATCCATTCATCTCTGACACTTCTGTTATAGAGAAAAGGCGAATGGCGATATTAAAATATTTCTTGTAATCATTTCCTTTAATGTGCAGGAATTCACTAATTTATAAATAAAGTCCTAAATTAAACTCCAAAGCTTTTACAGATTTGGAAAGAGAAAATAAGAGCAGAAATTTAGGAAAATCTTCTCTTTTTTTTGCAATGCACACACAGTTAAAAAA